GAATAAAGAACATGCGCTGAAAACGTGTAGCAGTTTCTGACAGATCCCTCCCCAATTCCCAAACACCCCCCCCAACCCCGCCCCCCCAAAAAAACCGCTGATCTTTTGGGTGGAGGGAAGGAGAATGGAAGGAGAGATTCAGAAGGCCCCAGAGGAGGGGAAGGATTTCACAAGAAAGCCAAGATTAAGACAATCTCCATAATAAAGAGCTGGGAAAAGGAGAGCAAGCGGATCAGGTAGAGGGTCCAGGAGGTTTGTGTTTTTGAGGGAGAGGGAGTGCAAGAGGGAGGTGTGGGGCAGTGGATGGGAGAGAAAGGAGTATCCACGTCAACTTCATGTCCCCTTCTTGGTGTTCAAACAGTACAACAGGGATTTGAGCACATCCGTTCACAGGGTGGCACAAGGAGGAGGATTGTACGAGAATGTTCTCAGCAGCTCTCTTCATCATGACTGAAAATATCCACGAACGGGAGAAGGGTTACATGAAGTGCGCTGCACGCGTGCAGTGGAGTACTACTCAGCAATAACACAGCTGACTCTCACAAGCATGTGAAATGAAAGAAGCCAGACACAAAAGATACACACTGAACAATTCTATTTACGTGATGTTCAAGAACAGGCAGAAATAACCCATGGTGAGAGAAGTCGAAATGCTGGTCACATTGCGGGGAGGGGGGAGTACAGTTGTCCCTCAGTATCTGCAGGGGATTGGTTCCAGGACACCCCTGTATCCCTTCGGAGACCCAAATCCGAGGATGTTCAAGTCCCTTCTATAAAATGGAGGAGTATTTGCATATAACCTACCCACATCCTCCCCTATACTAGAAATCCTTTCTAGATTACTTATAATACCTAATACAATGTAAATGCTATGTAGATAGCTGTAAATACAATGTAAATACTATGTAAATTGTTGCCAGCGTGAGGCAAATTCAAGTTTTCCTTTTTTGGGAACTCTGGAATTTTTTACAAATATTTTTGATCCCCGGTTGGTGGAATCTGTGGATGCAGAACCCTCGGATGCTGAGGGCTGACTGTACCACAAGGAGCAAGAGAAAACTGGCTGGGGTGATGGAAATGTTCTGTATTTTGATCTGGGTGGTGGTAAAGGATATCTTCATTTACATGAGAAGCCATTAAGCCATTAATGCACTTAAGATTTGTGCATTTTACCGTATGTAAATTATACCTCAATGTTTTTTAATTAAAAAAAGGAATACAAGAACTTCAGAGTTACATTATATGCACATATGACTATCTGTATTTTGCCTAGTAAAATTCAGAGTGAGAAAGAGCTAATGATACCAATGAAAATAATGTAAAGGGATGCTGCCCATCGCTCCAGACCCTCAAGGAGCCTATTCCGGAGCATCTTCCTGCAGTCCCCAGGTCTGCCTCAAATCCAGAGCCTCTCGTGGTCTAAATGCCTCACCACAGAGTACAACTCTAAACTTTAAAGATTGAATTTCTTTTTCTTTTTTTTTTTTTTTTGAAAAAGGGAGTATACATGAGCCAACTGATATGCACCTGAAGAACAAGAAATCTGTTCTGATGTCAAAGCTAAAAGTGACAGCATAGAAGTATCCTGAGATGGTAATACAGTCTCCAACGTGGCGCTTTCCTAAGAATTCCTTCCAAGGGTAATACTGACCATTTACAATTATTGCCTTATATGCTGATTTTGAAACCCAGCCCTTGAGTGAGATGTGACTCCACCATAAGGAATTTGAGTAATTTAGAAATTATTTTTCTGGTTATTCCTTAGACCCTTGGCTATACTGTGGGATGGAGCTCCTGGATCCTGACCTCACAAGCATGACAAGGGGTTTCCTCTCATCCCTATATCTCCTACCTCCCCTCCAAGAGCCTGAGCTCTGGAGAAAAGGAAGAGAACGCCATCCCCTCTGACTGAAGGTGTCCCAGCTGTGACATTCACAGGGCTATTGCCAACCCATTACTTTTCACACTAATGATATGCTTATTACTATCGATGTCTTTTATTTCTTGGGAAGTGTTTATACTCTTGTAACAGCCTGATAAGTGAAATCATCCAACACTTGGAAATAAGGCAAATAGATAACTGGTGTCCTTTCAAAGTCAAATTCGAGTAGTGTCTAACAAGCCTTCCTAAGGATCATCTGACACTCCAGGGGAATGTCACTTTGCTTGACTTACTATTTACTATTGATTAGGGCCCAGGCTCTATAAAGATAGCTGTTAGCTGGTACAAAACTGATAAGTTGCCAATTATTTTTGTCTGGTAGAGATGCAAATGATTTCTTTCCAATGCAGAAGATAGCCCCAACGTTAGGATTTTATTGCCCTATAGAACATTAACCAGTTTTGTATGTAACTTAGCAACTTTATGAATATTCCAGAATTCTTGGTTTTTTGGTTAGTGTTGTTTTTGTTTTTACTGAATCTTTTTTACCATATATAAGTATGTATAAATTTTTTTCTCATATCCTTCATTGCACTAGCTTTGTTCCTTCATTTATAAGCTACAAAGAAAATTCACATGAGCTCACTATGTATTTCTATATGAATTGTGTATTTAATATTTTGAAAACTATATTTTGAGAAGCCTTTCACAGTATTTGTTTTTCCCTCATGCCGCCTCTGCCGTTCTCTGCTTCCCACCGCTCTCTCATCTTGAGAAAGTGAGGCTCAGAGAGGTTAGGTAACTTGCCCAAGGTCACACAGATATTATTCATAATGATGACTTATTTTAATGTGGTGTTTGACAGTATAAACTTCCTCATATATTCATATAATCCCTCGGCAGCTCACCGAGGGGACTGTATCATCCCCATTTTACAGATAAAGAAACTGAGGTCTGGAAAAGTGATGTGGCTTGCCCAAGGTCATAGAGAAATTCTAGTTCCCCTAAGCCCCTGAATCCTGGGGAGCAGTAGAGGGGCTGGCAGGAGGAGCTCTGGGTCCCCACCCTTAAACCAGAGCATATGCCCGTCTAGATTTGTTGAATATATATTGTATGTCACACAAGATTGCAAATGAGAAAGGAGTCCCAAAGGCTTGAAAACCCTGGCCCTAGACTGTCTCCACCTGCCCGGGTACCATAGGCCTCCCTCTCCTCCACCTCCTCTTCCTCTCCTCCTCCCTCTGGAAAGCAAAACAGAACAACAACAACGTCAAAAATCATGGTCATGGGAAGAGACAGAAAGACATGGTCAGCCCAGGCCTGAACACATTGGTCTCCAGTCTGGAGGAGACAGAATCACTCAATCTAAAGAAAAACATTCTGCGGGTCCAAGGTGTCAATGACAAAGTGAGCTGTGCTGACAGCTAGTGAGCACCCCGTCAGTGAGAGTAAGTAAGGCTAGACGATCCATCCAAATGTTAACAGCAATTCTCTAGATGGGCTTTTGTCGCTGATTTTTAAATGTTGATAAAAGCTAATTATTAAGTGGTCACCGTGTGTCCACTGTTTTGTATATGTATTATGTCATTAAAACTTTATAATATTCGACAAGGTAGAACCTATTGTTTCCAATTTACGAACAAACAAACTGAGACGCCAGGAGGTTAAGTATCTTTCCAAGGACATGCAGCTAGGAAGTGGCAGGTCTAGGAAGCTGATTACTGAGCTTCCCATTACTGCTGCACTGTTCTTCTTTCTTCTGTATTTCTGTATTTCCAAGCTTTGGCAATGAATACATGCTGCTTTCATAATCATGAAAGTCTTACAAGTTACTGATTTTGTAAAGGTTCCTTCTGCCCTGATGTTCTAGGCCTCTATGGGTCTCACAGCCCTGCCCAGTATCCCCACCACGGCCCCCCCGGCAGACTCCCGCCTTGCTGTCCCCGTCCCCACACCATCTGTGGCTGGGGTAGGATGTCCCATGTCTCAGTCTTGCTGAGGTCTGCTCAAAATGTCCCTCGCAGGCCCGTGGCCCTAGGGCAACACTGGGGGTAGTTTCAGGGAAGGAGAAGGGGAAGTGGGAAGGGATGTGAAAGTTGGCCACAGGCCAGCACCGCCCTGCTTGGTGTCCCACAGGGGTCCCTGGGCGAAGGACGGGAGTATCCATTGTCGACGACAAGACGCAGGTGAGGCCAGCGCTTGACAGGGAGGGAGCTGTTAAGTTCAGGGAACCAGGGGGTGTGGCCCAGGAGGCTGGACCGGGCAGGGAAGGAGGGAGAGCTCTGCTGGCTGGTTCTATGCCAGGACAGTGTTGCGGTGGCGGTGGTGGTGGGGGGTGTGCGGGGGGGACCCTGATCTAGGACCCAGAATGAGTGAGTGGGGGGACCTTAACTCCAGGGGCTTGGGGGAGGGGGGAGGTAGTGACAGACCCATGAGCTGTAACCAAAGTTCCTGGGTTCTGCCCCCCACCACAAAACACAAGAAGCTGGGAAAAGGCTGGGGGTGTCAGAGCCCAGCAGAGGGGTCCCACAAAGGGATAGCGGGTGGCAGTCAGCCCTCTGCCCTCCAGTGGGTGCTGAAAGGGGCCGAGTGTGTGGAGGAGGGAGCAGATGTGTGTGTCAGGTGTTTGTGAATTCTGGTGTGTATGCACAGCTCTGCCATCTGGGTGAGAGGGTGTAAATTAAACAGGGAGCAGGCACTCAATAAATATTTGTTCAGTCACCTGTAGGATTGTATGACTGTGTGTGTCCAGGTGAGCGGGGGGGGGGGCATGTCAGTTTGGGTGTCAGTTTGTGTGTCCAGGAGGGTGGGTCGTGTAGGTACGTGAGCGAAAAGCTGTGTTTGTGTGTCTGAGTGTGTAACTATATGGGTATGTTCAGTTGCATGTGTGTATCTGTGTGAGTTTGTGGTTCTTTGTGTATGTTTGGGGTCCCTGGAGCTGGATGGAGGGTGGACATTGAAGGCCCTCGAGGGGGTGTGTGTGCGATGGTCGGGAAGATGATATATATAGATAGATAGAATTGGGCGGGGTTGGGGGTTTCAAGTGTGGGTGTTGGGTGTGCATGAGTGTGTGATGTCCAACCTGCCCAGGCCCTGCCCATGTCTCCACAGTGACACCATGGAAGCCCCCTGGGGCTGGCTGGTGATCGGTGTGCTGGCCATATCCCTGGCCTCTTCGGTGACCCAGGACATTTGCCGAGCACAGGATGGGAGGGACGGGGCCGCAGGAATACCCGGCCGACCCGGACGGCCAGGCCTCAAGGGGGAGCGAGGGGAGCAGGGTAAGCCCTCCCTCTGGACCCCAGCCCCTCATCCCTGGGCTTCGCCTGGCCACCAGGGTGGAGGCTCAGGTTGGCACTGAGAAACAGGAGTCCACCTGGGCCCACACACGAAGCCTCTCCAGTCTGCACTTGGTCCCAGGGGCTGAGGGGGGCCTAGCCTTCTTCCAAAGCCATGTCCACAGGCCCCAGTGGCCTCTCTGTATCCCCTTTCCTGCCCAGGTCCTCTTTCTTTGGCCTCACCTTCCTCCTCTGGACAGTGGGTCACTGCAAGCAATGAATATGAAAGGTCCCAAAGCTGTGCTCAGTCCTTGGTCTTTGTTCAGTTACCAGAAAGATTAATGCCCTTGGCTTTAGACTCAGGAGCCCTTGTCTTGCTGTGTGACCTTGAGCGACTTACTGATCCTCTCTGAGACTCAGTTTCCTCATCTGTAAAATGGAGAAATAACCCCACCTAGCACATTGAGAGGGATCAATTCATGGCAACTATCTTTTTTGCTTCCAGCTTCCCCACAACTCTGTCCCTGCTTCCCCCTTCCCTGCCCCTTCAGGCTTCAGAAACTCTCATGTTCTAGAAAAAAGGCTAAGGGTGAAGGGAAAGGGAGGAGGGCACGACCAGAGCAGGAAAGGAAAGTCTCATGTAATCGCCCTGAGCCTCCCAGTCCATAGCAGACCACAAAGATCTGCATAGGCATTTGCAAACAATCTGCACACAGGCATCCTACATGTGGTCTGTGAATCTGACAAAGTCAAGGTCAGTGCCCTGGGGAGAGTGTGGAGTGCACGGCTGTGGGCAGGAGTACAGTGAAGCCAGTGGACTGCTTTTCCCAGAACCTGACACTCCCAAGTGCCTGCTCACATTTCTCTCCATTTTACGGATAAAGAAGCTGAGGCTCAGGGAGGTTGAGACAAGTGCCCAAGGTCACGCACAGCCAGTCAGAATCAATGTCTTGAAGGCCCAGACACTCCCCCTATCCTCTATCCCACAGCCGTCCGGGGTCCCAGCCACCTCCCTGAGGTCTGGAGGACGCTAGACCAATTGGGACTCTCACTCCCAATCTGGCCTTTCTCCCCACAGGGGCCGCTGGTATCCAGACCGGCGTCCGTGGCCTTAAAGGAGACCGGGGAGAGCCTGGGCCCCCTGGAAAACCTGGCAGAATGGGCTACCCAGGGCCCAGCGGCCCCCTGGGGCCCCCTGGCCTCCCAGGGTTGAAGGGCATCAAAGGCAACCCAGGAAACATCCAGAACCAGCCGCAGCCGGCCTTCTCGGCCGTGAGACGGAACCCTCCGATGGGCGGCAACGTGGTCATCTTTGACACGGTCATCACCAACCAGGAGAGCCCATACCAGAGCCACTCGGGCCGGTTCATCTGCGCTGTGCCGGGCCACTACTACTTTACCTTCCAGGTGGTGTCCAAGTGGGACATCTGCCTGTCTATCGTGTCCTTTGGGAGGGGCCAAGTCCAGCGTTCCTTGGGCTTCTGTGACACCAACAGCAAAGGACTCTTCCAGGTGGTGTCTGGGGGTACGGTGTTCCAGCTCCAGCGGGGAGACCAGGTCTGGATCGAAAAAGACCCCAATAAGGGCCGCATTTACCAGGGTTCAGAGGCTGACAGCGTATTTAGCGGCTTCCTCATCTTCCCATCCACCTGAGCCCCTCCCCACCGTGGCCTCCGCTTCCTGATGTGTGACCCTGGCCCGCTCACTCCACCTTTCTGGTGTCTATGCCCTGCTCTGTAAAGTCGGGGTTCTGTTGCTTTAGCTGCCTGAAGGAAGATCATTTCTTAGAACTCTCCCTGGAATAAATACCTGAGTCCATGTGTGCTGAGCTTGAAGTGCAGTTGCTACCCTGGCCATTGGGAGGGAGGCTTAAGAATGACAACAATTATTGAGTGCTTACAGGCCAGGCCTGCATTTAATATTTTACAACAAATATTTAGCAGGTCCTGGGAGCCTCATCGGCCTGGCCTCAAATCCTGGGCCACCATTTTACTTACTAGTTGTCCAGTTATGTGCATTTTATGTTACTTCAGTGAATCTCAGTTTCCTTATCTGTAAAGTGGGAATACTGATGGCACCTTCCTCAAAGGGTTGTTGGGAGGATTAACTGACTTAATATATGAAAATTACAGAGGAGTGCCTCGTGCATAGTAAGGGTTACACATATGTTTTAGCCTTAATTATATTTTGTTTAATCTTTACAGTTGAGTTCTGAGGTGGGTATTATGACCTTATTTTACAGATAATGAAACTGAGGCTAGGGGTCTGGGACAAACTTAAAGCCCAAGGTTAGTGTGTAAGGGGAGAAGCTGGGGTTTGACTCCAAGTCTTACTGACACCCAAGCCTGTGTGTCTACCTACTACCCTAGCCAGCCTCCACAGACACACGCCTGACAATTGACACCTGTCATTTCCAACGCTCAACCAGAAAGGCAGATCCACGGGCATCCAGAGGTCTTCCTGAAGCCAGGTTCCCCGAGGCCAGCGCTGGGCTTCTACCCCGGCAGGCACAGAGGCTGGGGCTGTTGCCTGCTGGGTATCCCACCTGGGCTGCGGACTGGGAGGGTCTGGAATGTTTGTGGTGCATTCCCAGGGTCCCACTTAGCCTGTCTGGGTGCTGCTCAGAAGCAAAAAGCCCCACTATGCCCTTCGTATGTGAGAAAAGTAAGGCGACCAGAAGTTCAGTCCTGAAAATGTCCAGCGTCCTGTGCTTTTTCCCAAAGGAAGCCGATTTTACCTTTGTGCTGCACACATTCATGTATGCACACACATGCACAAGAATACACATCACACCTGCACACACACCTCCCAAGATGCACGTGGACCTACATTCCTGGACCAAGACTCGTCTACTCCTCACCCAGACGCCCACTCGCTGCGACCCACCGGCTGCACCCCTGGACGCACTACTTACGCCTCCAGACCCACAGACGCACTCAAGGATACACATGCGTCATACCCGTGCACACCCGCCTCGTACACCCACATGCCGCCATCAACCATCAGAAGTGCTCTCACACACACGTGTTCCAGACACACCCCTAACACGAAGGAGCACACACCCTCCTCTCCCTCTGACATGCATGTGCCTTAGAAACGCCTGTGTTCTCCAAGTCCTCACACACCCACAACCTCCACGCCCACCTTCGCCACACACTCAAGACCCACTTGGAGGGGGAGCCCGGGCCCATCAACAGCCTTCGGGGGATCAGGAAGAAGAGAGTAAAGCTCTGCAGCCCCAGAGCAGTTCTTGACTCCTCAGCCCCCTGCCCACCCAGAACACACACGCCCACGGACTGGGAAGAGAAACAGATCTGTGAGCACCTACTGTGTGCTGGACATTTTATAACCATGGATGCATTTAATCCCAGCAAAATCGATGAGGACCCTGAGGCTCACAGAAAGGAGACATCTACCGAAGGTCACACTGCCAGAAAGTGGCAGGACTTGAATTTGAACCAGGTCTTCCTGACCCCAAAGTGAAGGGCTTCTTTCATTGCAACGGGGCTCAAAGACAATGTCATGGGTAGAGGGCCCATAAGAAGCTGGAGAGGCCAGGCTATAGAAATGGCGGGTGCAGGGAATGCCCCGCTGCTTCTCACCCTAAATTCCACCCATACCCACCCTTCTTTGCAGAGGCAAATCACTTGCCCCTCTGGAAGGAGGGGACCCAGCCGCAACCCAGGCGGGCGGGGCAGGGGCGGACTGAGCGCGGGCTGAGGCTGCCACCTGCTGGAGAAGCCGGACCCAGGCACGAAGGAGGTGAGGACTGAAGATGGGAGAGAGGCCTGGGTGCCATCGGCCGGGTCCCCCACACCCCATAATGCCATGTCCATCATTTCTGCTCTCTCCAGCCTTCCACCCGCCTGGGAATTCCAGGGACAAGTACATTCATGTTGTTACTCTTGTTGCACACTCTGCAGCCCTGTGCCAGAGGGTGGAGAGCCAGCTGGGGAGACTGAGGCCCTGAGGGTCACCCAGCAAAGCAGGGGCAGGGCTTGGAACTCTGCTCATGGCTGGCACAGGGCTATGCACTGTGTATGCATTAGCACTGCCCTGCATGGAAGCTACTGGAAACCCTCATTTACAGAGGAGAAATCAGTGCTCGGGGAGATCAAACCACTCACTCACATGGGTGGCAGGAGTGGAATCAGGGTTGGAACCCTCCACTGCCCATCACCTCCTTCCTCTCTGGAATCTCATGTGAGGAGAAGAAAGAGAGGAGGGGCCTCTCTCAGCTCTGCCAGCCTGGCCTCTACTGGCAACCCCTCACTAGCCATAATAGGCTCTGAGATGAGAGGCCAGGGATGGAGGTGAGGGAGGGGGTGCTGACAGGGAAGGTGGGATCATCAGGGGCCCCAGCAAAGGAAGAGGCACCAACATGCAAAGCCTGGTCCTCCGCTACCACCCAGTATACAGATGGGATGACTGAGACCTAGGGGCCAGTGGTTTGCTGAAGGCCTCGGGGCCAGGGAGTGGCAGCGCTGGAAGGAGAACCCAAGGCCGCTGACTTTGTAGCCAGAGGAATCTGTCAGCCACAGCAGGCTGCCTGCTGTCAAAGTTTGCCCTGGATGTCCACCCCCAAGTAAGGCAAAAGGGAGGGGGCATATGGAAGTCTCTAGAATAAGACCTGTCACCTCACAAGTGCATGTGAGGCTTGTTTCTGCGGGCAGCTAAGCGGAGGGGTCAGAACAAGGCTTTGGACCCAAGAAACCATTCACTAAGTGACTTTGGGCAAGGGTTTTCACTTTCCTCAGCCTCAGTTTCCTCATCTGTACAGGGGGAATTATAACTTCCCCCTCGGGATCTTGTGAAACAACGGGGTCACAGGCACAGTAAATGGCAACAAACGGGGATGGGCATTAGCTGGGCTGAACTTGACTCTAGGGGAAGTCTGCCCAGGCGGCTGTTGTTTACACGCACACACACACATAGGCACCATTCAGCAGAGCCGGGGCAGTGGACATTTCCTCATTTCAGATACTCATGACCTGGAGGTGGAGGGACACAGGGACATCAGTGCGGTCAGCCTGGCTCAGCACCCAAGAGAAAGTATTGAGTCAGGAAAAATTATGGGAAAGGGGATGTGGTATTGGCGAGAGGAGGGGAGGGGACAGCACAGTCGGCCCAGGCCCTTCTTGCTGTGTCCACACTGACACGGTGTCCTCCTGCCTTGGAGAGGGGAAGCAGATCTGAGGACATCTCTGTGACCAGACCAGAAACCTCCCACCTGTCCAGGTGAGGGCAAATGGCAGCTTTTCCCCGCTGCCGCTTCCTGAAACGTGGCCCCAGGGACAGCCTGATTTGTGAGAGGAAGGAGGGTCCCCATCTCCGCTAAGCCGGGGCCTGAGCTTGAAGAGGCCCCCTTCCCCATCCATTGTGCGGTCCCAAGGGGCGAGGGGCCGGGGGAGGGAGGTCAGCTCCTGAGGGCTGAGAAGGACGGCCCCTGGGGAGACAGAGGGTGAGGAGGGCATGCCAGGGGCTGGGGGACAACTCAGCTCTCTCCCCATCCAGCTCCTCCCCCAAATGGACATGGGGTCCAGCTCCTGGCCCCCGCTTGTACCAAACCTGCTGCTACTCTTGCTGGCACTGCTGCCTGGGGGCCAAGCTGGCACAGACTGCTATGGGATCGCCGGGATGCCGGGCCTGCCCGGGGCCCCAGGGAAGGATGGGCATGACGGATTGCCAGGGCCCAAGGGTGAACCAGGTGAGTCTGCTGGCCTGCTGAGGAGGGGTCACCTGGGGGCAGGAGTCAGAAGTGTCCATCTGAGGCTGACTCTGGGGAAGGTGGACAGCTGCTTGATGGCGAGTAGTGTGGTCCCTCCGGCCATGCCTGCTCCCAGGACAGAGTCTTAACTCTTGTGGCAGGTCTATCCCCTCTCCCCCTCAGAGCCCAGGCCTCCGGCCTCCCCAGTTTCCCCATCTGATAACAGGAAGAGAACAAGAGCACCTGCCCTAGAAGGTGGCAGGGAGGATCACAGAAGATGATCCAGGTAAAAGCCTTTGGCAAACTCTAAAACGCTCTGCTACTATTTTATTCCAACCCCTCCACGACTTGCCCTGCAACATGGACCCCAGTGACTGTATACAATGCCCAGGTGGCCAGGGTTCAAGTCCCAGCCCCACCACTTCCCACTGTGTGAACTTGCACAAGTTATATAACCTCCCAGTGCCTCAGTTTCCTCATCTGTAAAATGGGGAGATGATAGTACCTACTGCACAGGGGTGCTGTGATGATTAATAAAATTAAATATAAAACAGTACTAGCACATGGTAGGTATCAGTTAAGTGTGGGCTATGGCTGTTACTGCTGTTGTCATCTTTGTTTTTATCAGAGATGTGTGCTCCCTTCACTCCCTAGGATTCTGGGTAGTTGGAGGGGTAGGGAGTAAGGAGTCAGGATCACAGTCACAGAATCTTCTGTTGGAGATTCACGGGCAAGCCCTAGCACGAGTGAAAAGGGTTGAGGACATGAACGGGCACTGGTGTTGGGTGAGAACTGGAGTCTGCTGGTGACTTGTCTGAAAGTAGGTGCACATCTGGGGTGGAATGTGTCCAGAGTGGCCATGGGGGAGGCTGGGGTGCGGCTGGGCGGAGGTGACAGGGGTGGCAGAGGCACTGGGCAAGGGAGGCCAGCGGAGGGGAATGTCCTTAGGAATTTCCCACTGTCATCTTCCCTCCTGGCAATAGAGTGGGATTGTACCAACATTCCAGAAGGAATTCTCCAATTCAGGGGGAGTCAAATGAAGCCCCCAGGTCTGCCATTTTTCCAGGACCCTGTATTTCACAGCTGCCTCTGGCCATCTCGCTGTGTGGGATGGCTGATGGACACCAATTTTTTAATATATAAATTTATTTATTTATTTATTTATTTATTTATTTATTTATTTATTTATTTTTGGCTGCTTTGGGTCTTCGTTGCTGTGCGCGGGCTTTCTCTAGTTGCAGAGAGCAGGGGCTACTCTTTGTTGAGGTGCACGGGCTTCTCATTGCAGTGGCTTCTCTTGTTGCACAGCACGGGCTCTAGGCTCGCGGGCTTCAGTAGTTGTGACACACGGGCTTAGTTGCTCCACAGCATGTGGGATCTTCCCAGACCAGGGATCCAACCCGTGTCCCCTGCACTGGCAGGTGGATTCCCCACCACTGCGTCACTAGGGAAGTCCCGGACACCAATTTTTAGCTCCTAATTTGTGCCAGGTATTGTTCCAAGTGCTCTACATATATTCATCTCGTGACGTAGATAAAATTAACTCTATTTTACAAATGAGAAAACTGAGGCCAAAATCCTTTGAAGAAACGATTTACTCCCATTTTACAAATGTCAAAGCTGAGGTTCAGAGAGATTGAGCAACTTGTCCCAAGTCACACACTGGAATCCTGTCCAACTTCCAAGGCCACGCCCTTAACTGCTACCCTGCACTGCCTCTCAGGCCCCCTCCCCACTGCCATGTCCCCCACTCCCAGTTGGTTTCTGGAAGTTAACCTGAAGCATGAGACACAGCCCTGCTTAACGTAGCTGACAGCCGTCACCGAGACCTGCCATTACTGAGCACTGCCTGTGAGGTGCCCGGCACGGCCATTCTCCCACCCCACTCTGCCAGCAGCTCTGTGGGATCCGTTCTATTATGCCCTTATCTCAACTGGGCAAACAGAGGCTCTGGGAGGGGAGATCACCTGCCCGGGATCACGTGGCCTGACGCTTAGGTCTGCTGGGCTCTGATTCTCCACTCCTAACCCTGGGATCTAAAAGGCTCACAAGCCGCAGAAGATCCGTCACAGTAGGTCTGCACAGACACCCACCCCAAAGGAAGTCGGAGGAGGAAGCAGCCACGAGGGCCAGCAGGGGTAGTCAGAGAGGGCTTCCTGGAAGAGGAGACTGGAGCCAGGCCCTAAAAGATGAGTATGGTTTGGACAAGGGGACAAGAAGCTCATAGGGGCTCGGATAACTAAGGCGGTAACAAGAGTCAGACACTGACTGGGACTAGCCAGACTTGACTGTGAGTCCTGACTCCACCTCCTACCAGCTGCATGGCCTTGGGCAAGTTTCTGGCCTCAGTTTCCTCATATGTAACATGAAGTAAGTTGAAACAGGCCAGTTGTCAGAGGGGCTGAATTGGGCTGAGTGGGGCTGGGGGAGCTGGGGAAAGGCAGCCTCTGTGGCTCCATTCGGTGGATCCCATGTGCTAAGCTGGCCTGGGCCTGGGTGGTTCCAGCTCAGAAATGGAAACAGGTTTTGTGGGGCTCTGAATCTTATAAAACGTTGAGGATCCTCTTTAAGAAAAGTAATACAGAATTTGATGCGGGGACGGGGGGAGGTTTCACAAATCTACACGCGCTACAAAATTGTTTTGCAACTATAACCACACAAATAATGCATGTAAAAGTGAAGCTCTGTGGGTCCTACAAAGGTTAATTTCTTGGTTTTGATTTCGTACTGTAGTTATGTAAGATTGGGGACAACTAGGTAAAGGGTACATGAGACTTCCTTGTCCTTTTTTTTTTTTTTTGCGTTACGCGGGCCTCTCACTGCTGTGGCCTCTCCCTTTGCGGAGCACAGGCTCCGGACGCGCAGGCTCAGAGGCCACGGCTCACGGGCTTAGCCGCTCCGTGGCACGTGGGATCTTCCCGGACCAGGGCACGAACCCGTGTCCCCTGCATCAGCAGGCGGACTCTCAACCACTGCGCCACCAGGGAAGCCCCCTTGTCCTTTTATTTTTTTGCAACATCCTGTGAATCTGTAATTATTTCAACATAAAAAGTTGAAAAAATTATAAATGTAAAATTATGCAAAGGGTCTTGAAAGGGCCAGTGCAAGTAAATGGGGCCCAAAGCTTAAGTTTTAGGACCTTTCCAGGAAACCTGCCTCTGACCGATCTTCTGATTTTTGTCAAGAAAAACTAAGAACCTAGACTTTTAGGTGAGGAGTTATCTGAGGCCGCATGCTGTCCGTGGGCTGACAGTCGTGGCCTCTGGCATGCTCTCTGAGATGCAGCCCAGCTCTGTCACCTCTTGAGCTGGCTGGTCCTACCCTCCTCTCCATCACAAACATGGAAACTGAGGCCAAGAGACGGGGCCGTGCTGCAGCCAAGGTCAGAGGGCAAGACCATGGGGAGGCAGGATTTGAACCAGGGTCTCTCTCCCCTCTTCTCCCTGCCCACTGCACCCAGGTGAATAGGCCACCCTCTGGGGGAAAGAGAGTCCAGAGACCAAACCCTGGTGGCATGTCCCCTGGAGGATAACCCTCTCCCTCTTCCCTGTCCCCTGCCCCATCACTTCCTTCCCACCTGCTCTCTCCCCAGGAATCCCAGCTATCCCTGGGACACGAGGACCAAAGGGTCAGAAGGGAGATCCTGGCACACCTGGCTATCCTGGGAAAAATGGTCCCATGGGAACCCCTGGGATTCCAGGGGCTCCTGGCAACATGGGACCCCCTGGGGACCCAGGCGATGAGGGCAGGTACAAGCAGAATCACCAGTCAGTATTCACTGTCACACGGCAGACAGTCCAGTTCCCAGCGCCCAACAGCCTGGTCAAGTTCAACTCAGTCATCACAAACCCACAGGGGGATTACAACACGAACACTGGCAAGTTCACCTGCAAAGTTCCCGGCCTCTACTACTTTGCCTACCACACGTCACACACGGCCAACCTGTGTGTGCAGCTGTACCGCAGCGGTGTCAAGGTGACCACCTTCTGTGACCACATGTCCAACACCAAGCAGGTCAGCTCAGGCAGTGTGCTGCTGCGGATGCAAGTGGGCGAGCAGGTGTGGCTGGCGGTCAACGACTACAATGGCATGGTGGGCACCGAGGGCTCCGACAGTGTCTTCTCCGGCTTCCTGCTCTTCCCTGACTAGGGCAGGCAGGCCTGCTCCGCTCCCCGGGGCCACCCCATCTCCCTCAGCTTCCCTGCAAGAACACACTGGGCCACACATCCTTGCTCGGGTCATTCTCGCCACTGGATGGACTCCTCCTCCAGGAAGCCCACCCTGCCCTCCTGCCCTGAGTTGTCTCCCTCCTCCAAGCTCCTTTAGGAGTCACTGCTTTGACACTTAACCAACACCTTCTGATGCTGTCATTAGTGTTTTCCAAGTCTTGGAAGAGGCAGAGAGATACATGAATAAATAATTAAAGGCTATGCACGGCTCCGAATCCTCACTGCCAATTCCCTAAGAAATAGTTCCCTTCATCTTCCACTTTGCCCCTGCCACAGCCACCTGTGGGCTCCAGATTCATCTTCCACTTTGCCCCTGCCACAGCCACCTGTGGGCTCCAGATTCATCTTCCACTTTGCCCCTGCCACAGCCACCTGTGGGCTCCAGATTCATCTTCCACTTTGCCCCTGCCACAGCCACCTGTGGGCTCCAGATTCATCTTCCGCTTTGCCCCTGCCACAGCCATCTGTGGGCTCCAGATTCAGGCATCTAGCTGGTGTTCAGTAAAGCTTGGTGCCAAGGTAGAGACACTCAGCACCATTTGGCCATTTGGGAGAGAGATGGTCAAATGTGGCTGAAGGCTGCAAGGGGTCCCCAAGGGGACATCTGTTGTCACTTGTTTGGGTGAGAGGCACTGCTGTCATTAAAGGTATTCGTGATCACAGGTAAACGGGAGTGTGTTTGAATTCCCAGATCTATGTTGACCGATGTTAAGTTTTGGGAGCACCCATCACAGGAGGGGTTTGGGCTAAGGCAGGCCCAGCACAGATGAAGGCAAGATGTACAATGAATTTGTGCTGAATTAATGAGTGAATTGGGGTGAATGAATGAATGAATGAGTAGTGGGTAAATGAATGACTAAAAGCAGAGCGAATGAATGAGTAAAAAAATCATAATAGCTAACATTTATTGAGCACTCACTATACACCAGGCATTATGCTAACCCATCTATTAAATGATTTAATATTCGTAATTATGCTCTAGGTGGGCATGGATGGGTGAGGGAGAGAGTGAGAACCTGACTCCCGGATGTCTGATTTTCCCCAAATAACTGAGACTCTGGGGGCCTCCAGGAGACCATCCAAAACCACTACTGCCCACAAGCCATCAGGGTTTCACCGTGAAACTCCTGACAGTTGGGCCCAGCTGCCCCGATCCTTGTTGGAGGACCGGGAAGCCGGCCGTAAGCTGCTGCCCTTTCGCTGCACCCACCACGAGAAGGGGTTGACAGCTCAGGTTCAAAAAGATAAAAAGTGTAACTTTCCTGTGCAGATTGAGGGTCTGGCCTCAGAGCCCAGTGAAACCCAAGGCTCACTCAGGCCAGGGAAAACCACCCCTGCCTGACTGGGCTCTCAGCTTGGTTCCACAAGGCCCCACAGAGCTCACAAAGGCATGAGATGGACTGTAACAGCAGTTGCTGGAGCTCAGCTCTCCAGCCACTGCCATCCACTTTGGCTCCTTTGTTCCTGAAGAAAGCTGTTTCACACCCCCATAGCTTTGCCCAAGATGTTCCTTCATTTTGTAGAGCCCCCACCACATTCATACAAATCCTCCGTCCATTTAGATAATACACACTCAGCTGTCAGGAATCAACACAAAGATCACCTCCTCCATGAAGCCTTCTCTGATTCTCCCCTTCGTGTCCCCACAACGTCCTCGACCGACTTGGACCACAGACTCATGACTTATTAGAGCCCAGGTTCCCAAATCTGGGGGTGCAACAAAGTTACCTGCAGACTTATTTACAAAATAAAAAAACAGATTTCTGGACCCAAGCCTGTTACACAAAGGTTTGGGGAGGACTGCTATTTCCAGCAAGCTACAGTCTGTCTACATCTCAGGAGTGGGTCACAGGACAGCTCTTGGGAATGGGGGAACCCGTATTGACCTGTTTCACCAATCAACCTATTCTGAAAAATTGAAAGTTGCTCAAGGTTGATTCAAGGGCAGCAGTGGCTCCAGAGGCAGCAGCGCCAGGTCCCCGTGGAGGTGATCCTAGAGCTGTTTTCCTGGAGCAGGGTCAGGACCGATCAGATTTGTGTTCGCACCATAGCGCAGGGGCCAGTTCGGTTCCTGTTAGTGCCCTGAGATCTCCCTCATCCCCCTGAGTTTCGGGGAAATGGCTGAAGCTAGTAAGCCCATGATGAAGAAAACTTCAAAATCTGTTCCTTTGGAGAGGAATAAGAGAGAAAAGGAACAATTCCGTAAACTCTTTATTGGTGGCTTGAGCTCTGAAGCCACAGAAGAAAGTCTGTGGAACCACTGCCAGCAATGGGGATATCTCACAGACTGTGTGTTAATACGGGACCCTGTAAGCCAAAAACCAAGAAGATTTGGTTTTGTCACGTTTTCATCCATGGCTGAGGTTGATGCTGTCATGGCTGCCAGACCTCATTCCATTGATGGGAAAACGGTTACGCCCAAACGTGCTGTCCCAAGAGAGGACTATGGAAAGCCGCGGGCTCTTGTCACTGTGAAGAGGCTGTTTGTTGGTAGGATTGCAGAAGATACTGAGGAACATCATCTTAGAGATTACTTTGAGATATATGGAAAAATCAATGTCATCGAAATAATTACTGATGGGCAGTCAGGCAAGAAAAGAGGCTTTGGGTTTGTTGCTTTTTTTTTTTTTTACAAGTTTTATTTATTTATTTATTTATTTATTTTTATATTTATTTTTGGCTGTGTTGGGTCTTCGTTTCTGTGCGAGGGCTTTCTCTAGTTGCGGCGAGTGGGGGCCACTCTTCATCGCGGTGCGCGGGCCTCTCACTGTCGCGGCCTCTCTTGTTGTAGAGCACAGGCTCCAGACGCGCAGGCTCAGTAGTTGTGGCTCACGGGCCTAGTTACTCCGCGGCATGTGGGATCTTCCCAGACCAGGGCTCGAACCCGTGTCCCCTGCATTGGCAGGCAGATTCTCAACCACTGAGCCACCAGGGAAGCCCGGGTTTGTTGCTTTTGATGACCACGATCCCGTGGATAAGATTGTGTTGCAGAAAAATCATACCGTTAATGGTCATCATGCAGAAGTAAGAAAGGCCTTGTCTAGACAAGAAATGCAAGAAGGCCCATGTTCTAGAAGTGGAAGAGGAAGAAACGCGGGTTTTGTATATTTTCATGGTGGTGGTGGAAAGTTTGGAGCAGGAAACTTTGGAGGAAGGAAATTTACAGAAGGATCTGACGGATACGGAAGAGGACATACATTTGGGGATGGCTATCATGGGTCTGGAGGAGGACCTGGAGGTGGCAACTTGGGGATTAGCCCTGGGCATGGAGGAGGGCGCGGAGGATATGGTGGTGGATATGGCAACCAGGATGGGAGCTCCAGAGCTGGTTATGAAAACTATGGAAGAAGGAATTATGGAAGTCAAAATTACAGTGATTGGGGCTTCCCTGGTGGCACAGTGGTTAAGAATCCGGCTGCCAATGCAGGGGACACGGGTTCGAGCCCTGGTCTGGGAGGATCCCACATGCTGTGGAGCAACGGAGTCCTTGTGTCACAACTGCTGAGCCTGCGCTCTAGAGCCCGCAAGCCACAACTACCGAAGCCTACATGCCTAGAGCCCGTGCTCCGCAACGGAGAGTAGCCCCCGCTCGCCGCAACTAGAGAAAGCCTGCACGCAGCAACGAAGACCCAACACAGCCAAAAATAAATAAATAAATTTTTTTTTAAAATTACAGTGATTTGGAGAATTATAAGCCGAAACCTTCTAAGTACGAATGACTGAAGAGGGGAAAACTGAGTGGTAGCAGGAACATGGGGGGATCATACAGTGGAGGAAGCTATGGTCCAAGAGGCAATGGAGGAAGTGGGGGTTATGGACAGACAAGATGATACTGAGCTTCTTACTTGCCATGGGCTTGACTGTATAAATAGAGAATTAGAGCCCAGAGGTAACAGAAGAGCTTTAGGTTCTCGAAGTAACAATGTTCAGGAAACTCTTATCTCAGTCATGCAGGGATATGGCAGAAGACACCAGAGCAGGTACACAGAGCCATTTTGTGAGTGGACTCAATTATGTAAGAACATCACCTTCCTGTGGAGGAAAGACTATAAAAAATGCTTTTGAAACAGTTTCTTAGCTTTTGAATTGTGTCTTTCCGGTGGTCTCTATGAAAGTGTGGAAGAATCCCTTCTCTGATAATGTCAAATTTCAAAGTTTGGGGTGACATGTGAAACCTTTTTCAAGATTTTTCTCAAAGTTTTGAAAGACTATTAGCCAGAATCATGGTGTAATAAGACATAACATCATTCTTCTAAAAAAAATCGATTTCGTGTGTAGAGTTAAGAAGCTGTTGTACATTTAAGATTTAATAAAATAATTCTAAAGGTAAAACAGTAGTAGTTTGTCCTCTTTGATAATTTTGCACTTTTAGTTTTTACCTTTTAAATGTTTTTCTTGTTTTATGATATCAAATTTTGAAGTGTAATGATATGACTTACCTATATTATGAAATTGTTACCAAAAAAACCCTTTTCTTCTTGTGATGAATAGGATTTACTGCCTTACAACTTTGATAGTATCCTACAGCTGTGCTAATTTTGGTCTTCTTGTACATTCCATCTTTTTTAATGGTGAGTAGCTTGTCATGTATCTATTGGTCATTTGTGTATCTTTTTTGGATAAATGTCGATTCAGTTCTTTAGTCCATATTATAGTTTGATTATTTGCTATTGTGGCGTATGAGTTTTTGTTTTACATTACCTGTTTTGTATTTATTTACCTTATAACTGGAATTTTGTACCTTTGAACAACCTTTATCCTGTATTTCCTCCCACCAATTTTCTGCTGTTGGGAGCCACAAGCATGATGCATGATTTTTTTTCTGTGAGTTTAATCATTTTTTTCAGGATTTCACAGATAAATATGATCATACAAAAAAAGAAGGGTTTGGGGAGGACAGAGACATGGGTGGGTGGACGGTCTGCCAGGTGAAGTCAATGCACGATGTCCACCACCTGGCTTTTCTGCACTTATTTCCTTACAGGTCTGCATCCCTCACTGGATTGTGAGCATCCTTGAGGGCGGGGCCACTTTGATACAGGCCAGGTGCATAGTAGGGGCCTGGGAAATGTGTCAGATGAGAAGGAAGGAGAGATGAAGACACACACACACACACACACACACACACACACACACACACACACACACACACAGCAATAACAGAGGCCAGGGCCTAGGAACTCGGCCTGGTCCACA